TGTTAGCATAATGTGTTTCCTTATTCAAGTGTGGAAAGATGAAATCAAGTACAGAAACTCGAAATATAGAGGAGCATAATTTTTCAAGGAAATGAAGGAACTTAATTTGAACACTGAGATGGATATGCTTGGTAAAGGTTACAGTAATTAGCTTAAACCACATTAAGATAAAAACATAAACTTGTTCTGTATTTAAACCTGGTAAAGAAAATGTTTGGTTTGGGCCTAATCTGAAATATTCATAAACATGAAATTTTTCCCTGAGTGAGAAAGAAGTGTGTGGTTTAAATTATTCTAACAATTGAAAAACATGGTTCTGTTGTTTTATATACACTATATAAAGCAAGAAATATGGTGTTCTCACTATTGTTACTGAAGGAATATTTTGCAATTGTTACAAGTGGAATATTTGACTTCATCTTTAAAAAGTGGAACTATGATTGCTAGTCACTCAGAATCAAAGAAAGCATAGTATATCACTGTAATTTTGATTATGAAATAAGTTTGGTCTATATGACTGAACTATTTTTAAAATATGTAGATATTACTGAATTTCCTCTTTTGCTAAAAATTCTAAAAACTTTTATATACACATTTTGTGTTAACAACACTTACCCGTGGTATTATAACAATCTGTTGGCTAAATGAATTTAATTCTGGGTTCATTTGTTAAATCTGGTACAATTTTTACTTACTTATTCAGATGGAAAGTTAAAAAAACCTTTAAGGTCAGAAGTACTGGTCAGTGCTTGTGAGATGGCTGATTTCATTTCAATAACAAATGTAAGTAATCTATTTGTAGTTTTAACCTTCCTTCCTCATTGGAGTAAAAGCCTTGCCTTAGCAACTCACAGTGAGAGAAATTTATGTGCAACAAAAACTGACAAAACAATAAGGAAGGTGGTGTAGAAAGGCTAACTGTATCTGTTGCACCCATTGAAGCTTGGTGGATTGGGAATCCATTGGTGCTTAGGTTGTGCATTCTTACAAGAAATGAGTTATTCAGTCATTGCATTAATCCTTCCTAATGTGAGGAGCAGTATACACATCTAGATTTTTTTTTTTTTTACAGAAAATATCAAGACAAGTTGGCTGTGGCATTTAATCTTACACTACTAACTGAACTTCTGTCCTGTCGGAGGCTGAGTTAACTTACAGAGTTTTCCTTTTGAATTTACTGTAAAAAAAACAGTAATAACTAATTTGGGCAATTTGAACTTGTAATACTACCTGTAAGAATATTTACTTTTCTTCTCAATCCAATTACCAAGAACAGAGAAAGACTATTTGCTGACTGATCTAGATGGCCTAGACTTCACCTTTCAAATCCAGATGCATTACTAAATAAATCGTTGGAGAATGATCCACTATTTCATCCAAGTAAAACCTTGGAGTTAGCCACAGCCACTAAATCCTAAGACTAGCTGGAAGTAGCTGCTCCTGCCTTTGTTCCAATAATTAAATTTGCACCAGCACCACTAATGCAATGATCACAAAACACGAGGCCATGGAAACTGTGCCTAGTTCAAGTGTGTAACACTATTGATCCATGCAAAGAAAATACCATGTACCACCTTCACCTGAATCAGACAATAACAGCAACACTGCTATAGAAACACTGCCAGCTATACAAAGGCCTGGGCCTCATGCAGAGACAAAATGACTTGAGGAGAGAAAAGATTAACACAGAGGGATGGTGGCAATTGGATAATCAAAACTATTCAGTTTAGAGTTATTATTTAGTGATTTACTATTTAATGATTATTTTGTTTTCCTAACAAGTGTTAAAAGTTAATTATTTTAAAAGCAATAGTTATGATAAATTTTATCACATAACTCAATAAGAGTCGTACATTGTGTACGTAGTTTAATTGTTGTACTAGGCTTTTGTAATATTGTTGATGTCATATTACTCAAAGCTTCTAAGTTTTTCTCCTTATGTTTAATATTGTTGTGGAGGTCCAGATATTTCTAGATTTTTCTGTTGTGTGTAATAAATACATGTAGATACATAGAAGTAAGTCAAGTTAGTGAAAGGAAAGAAAGTTGATGAAAGTGAAGTTAGAATGCCTGATTGTCAGTTTAGCTTTAATGGCCGATTTATAAAGTTAGAGATTCACAGCTTGTATTGTAATAACAGAGATAAAGAATAATAATTTGTCTTGTCAAAGGGTGTTCTACAGTAAATTGAACGCACCTGTGTGGACTTTGATGAAAAGGAGACAATCATTTAAAGCTCTGGATACAACTGTGATAACCAATAGTGTAACAAGTTTTTGTACATACACTTGACTTGTATTGAATATATTATTTTACAAAAGCGGATTGTGTGATGTTTATTGTAGAAATTATTACCAACAAGTCACAGACACCTACTGTAAAGAATCTAGCCCTATATAAAACATTGACAGTAGTTCACCGATGAAAACCCTAAGCTTTTGGAGGCTAATGTCAGGATGTGAAAACATCTGTGAAAAGCCAAATAAGCCCTCCATAAAATTGTGCTGGAAGGTTTGATTTCTTTTGAATTTCATGCAAAGCTATGTAAGGATTATACGTGCTAGTCGGCCCTAATTTAGCAGTGAAAGACTAAAGGGAAGGCAGCTATTCATCACCATCCACCACCAACTCTTTTGCGAAAGAACAGTGGGATTGATCATCACACTATAATGTCCCCATGGCTGAAAGGGCAAGCATGTTTGGTGGGACAGGGATTTGAACCCGTAGATTGTGGGTTGAGGGCCCTAACCGCTTGGCTATGCCAGGCCTCTGCTGAAAGGAAGTAATCTACAGAAATTCTCAATAGCCCTCTAACTTCTTTTGTTTTTTGCTTTGTAAAGTTTTCCATAGTTTCTGTAAAGTTTAATGCATTTATATAAGTGTTCTATTAAATTCTTTTTTGCAACTGAAAGAACACAAAATATCATAAAACTGATACATCACAAAAAATATCCATCACAGCCAAACACAACCACCAGACTGACTCAAGCATAAACTGAGACCAATACCAAATCATAGAAAAAGTGTAGTAGTAAAAAAATCAAAGAATTATTTTACATCAACCCACTATCAACTAACATCAACACCTTGAAATCAACAACATTTGGACATACACACTTCCCAAACAATTCAGCAACAATTTTTCATTACACAATAAATAGCCCATGGACAATCATATCTTCTCAAACATGTCACTGATAGTAACATTCACCACAAATCAATCAAATATCACCATGCTTCCAACACAAATTTTTATGATACAGTAAAACATTATAGAAAGTGGGGAGAAGACAGAATTATTTGAACATTACAATGTGCACATGTGTGGCTGCTCAGTAAATCCATACTTACCATACATAATGATATTCTCTAGACAGAAATTATGATATAGCACTAGTAGTGGCTAAACATAAAAAGTCTTTAATGCCTATCTTTACTAATCCTAAAGCGATTTAAGTACAATATTTAAAATAACTAAACAGAGAGTGATTGCATTTCATAATATACTTTATTATGCATTATTTCTGAATAATTAGAAATTGTTTGGATAAAAGATTCAAGAAAACCTTAAAACTCTAGCTTTGATAATCAAAGTGAACTTTTCTTGTTATACAAGTTTGGTGAATGGTAAGCAAATATAAAGAAAAATAAATAATATATGAAATTTACAACTTAATTACGTACCACGAAAAACAATAACACAAGATTCATTTCAAAACCTAAAACTTCTTGGTGAATACAAGAAATCATCATATTGGCTAGATAACAAAACCTAAGGTCTTAGATGTATGTCAATTTTTTTGTCATCAAAGCATGTTTAAAATAACTTAAATTTTAGTTGAATACATAATAAATCTATTATTTTAAAATGAATTATGTTTTGCCATCTTCAGTGATACGTACAGTGTCTTATAAAATACTTCACCTAATTTTGTATGTGTGTTTGTTTTTAAAACACATTTTATCATGGTTGTTTGTTTCTTGAATCACACTAGGCCATCTGCTGTGTTCATCACAGGGGATCAAACCTTGGATTTTATCGTTGTAAGTCCGTAGACTTTCCACTTTTCCATCAGGGGTTATTTTATCATGGTTATCAGCTTCTTTAAAGCATAAATACAGTAGTATAATTTTTAGCTGTGAATATATATAGTCAAAGAGCACATTTTTTAAACACACACACACAGATTTATATATATAAATATGGCTTTCATTAGAAAGCTGTTATAAAACACAGCCTTTAAATGCTGCACTTCAGACAAAAAAAATTCAAAAACATCTAGAAAAATTAATGCAAATAATGCTTATATTCAGTGCATCCAAAAAATTCTTTGTATATGCAAGACCTGCATAAACCAAATTTCATAAGTCACATCCAACCTTTACTAACAGAAATTTGCAAGATCTATCACAGTTAATGTAGTTTGATGCAGTATAATGTTACCAGTTTTTAATTCTGAATAATTTTATAATACATTATATTGTTAACATTAAAGTGGAAATGTAAGAGGAAACTTGCATTTTTCAAAGCTATCTGAAAGACTTGTACAACAATACTAGTTTCAATACATTTATGCCCTTTTTAGTTCAACATTGTTGTATGAGAAAAAATTAGTCAATACAGTTTAAACCCTTGACAGCACAGATGTTCTGGGAACAATTCAATTTGATCTAACAATTGTAAATGTCAGAAACTTGTATTTTTGATAGAATATGCAATGTTTCCAAAAGCATGGTTTTTCTTTTACACTTAAGTATTAAGCAATATTGTTATATTTTTTTACTATTATAGTAGGTATAAATTACAGATCTGTTTTTATTTTTTATAATTATTATTTTCTGAAATAAAAGTCCAATTTATAGTTCAAACCAAATTATAAAAATAATATTTCATTAATTGACGTACTAGACTACCTGAAAAACATTTTGAACTTGATATTTTTGTTAATACGCTAAACATTAAGGTTTTTGACTTTTTAATTAACCAGGAAGAAGAATGCTATTATGAAGAAAGCAAATTATGTTCATTTTATTTGATTTCTCAATAAATGGAACAATCTATACATTTCTTTTAGTTGTTACTTCATGGTTGTTTTGATGTTTATAAACTGTCATTGGTCACGTTTACTTAATGCTGTGAAAATGCTTTCAAGTCCAGTTTCCTTTCTTCAAGTCTTCCCAATAAATATGTTTTCCAATCTTCTTCTGGTATAACTGAAGCCCAAGAGGGAACTGACGATGATGGAAGTGTGAAGCCAGACATGCATTCCTTGATTTTTTCAATATGATCTGTAATTAAAAATTTTTCTAACATTCATCAATCTGTTTGCAAAAAAAATATACATGTTCCAGATTTTTATAGTTCCAGTCTAGATCTAAATTTCAGGCTTGTAAAGGCTTCACTACAATAAAACAGAACCAGTTTGCTCTGAAATTCCTAATTTTACAAATAATAAATAAAGCCATACTTATGTAATACAACAAAATATAGCTCTAAAATGTTTTAATAAAAATTTATGTGAATATGCATACCTCATAAATAAAAATGTATCAGTTTAAAAAGGTTTGAAAAACAGTAATTGATTTTTATTAACCAGAACAGTTACTTTCAATGAAATAAAGGTTAGAAAAAGAAAAATGTTTTGTATGCATATTATCAATTGTTGTACAAATTTAGTTATTATGTTAATATATTTCAGTTAAAAGTGCTTAGAAAATGTTTGCCAGTTACTAATAAGCTTGAAAACTTAATTACAATAAACCAAAATATGTGTGGTATTTACAAGTGTTTGTATGCAATGTGACTACACAACTGTGTTGATAATAATACATCCATTTACTGTAGTGTTCTTCCAGTTGAAAGTACTTTAAAAAAAAATCCTAATTTCTAATAAACAAAAAGGAAATTTACAGGAAACAAAAGAAAAAAATCAATAACTGTAACAGTAATATTTTTTAACTAAATTGATTTTCAACTGTGGATCTAACTTGGAATGTCAAGATTTTCATTTACAGGGCCACTTTCATGCGGAAAATAACCTTTACAACCAAAAATCTTATTCAATGTGTCTTATACATGTTAAGAATAACAGAATCTTTGTGCTTAACTACACACAAACATTCCCACCATGGGTACTGAAACCCAGTTTTTAGCATTGTTAATATGCAAACATACCGCTATGCTACTAGAGCAAATCTATATTCCAATATATTTTTCTGTTGGAGACTGAAGATAAATATGTAAGTCGATTTGAAATTAAGTTTAATTCGAAGAATATTAAACTCACCTCTACTTAGAAAGAAAACTGAAAACCTAATAAGTTAAAGGAGAAGGGGGTCAAGATGTAATCAGAAAACAACAAAGTTCTCCATTTGGTAACCAAATGATCCACATACCATTAGCAGAGCATAATACAAGTTATCCAAAATTAATCCTGAGACCCATATCACAGGTGAAACTGAAAGGTATAAAAGTAATAAGAGCTACTTCCAATGACATTTAAAATGAGAAACCATTATTTATACCTCCCTTTACCAAATTCAATAACAGCAAAGAGACACCTATACTACTAGAAATGATAAGTGCAACTTCATAATGCAAAGGGAACTGCATAATACAAACCTAAATTCTATTTACAATAGCATACATTTTAAGAAGGTTCTTGATTGTACTATATTTGTAACCATAAGTACACTTTTAGACTCCCAGTTAAAAAGATAAGTATTTTCTCAATGATGCAATGCTTGGGCACATAGGTAAGATGTAGAGCTAAGTAGGGAAGTAAGAGAATATGAATAAAAAGTAAATTCCACCAATTAAACCTCCATGTAAGAATGGAAAACAACAGATGGTGGTAAATCTCAGAGAAAATTGGTCCAACAATAATGGGGGGAGAGTCAGTCACAATCAAGATGTTTGCATGGATAACATTTTTCCAAGGATATCACAATAAAGCTACAGAAGCAGCCAGAAGTTAAACAGGGTTCATGCAATTTCTCAACCTCAAAATTCAAGACCATTTCAAATAGAGAGTTGTTAATTTCAAGGGCTTTCATTGCATGCATCAGTAATTTTTTTGTCACAAATAATAACATGAACTTGTAGCAAGTTCTGTCACAAGCTTTCTGTTTAACTATTCTGTACAGTCAATTTTTGGACATTTTTCTGCAGTTCATCGTCATACTACTTCAGAAGATTCTCTTTCTCCATTGAAGTTATTACAGTTTTCCTGTATTTTCTTACTTCCCTGTATAATCATTTGCTGCTTTGAATTTCTTTTTTGTTTCAAGCTCTTGAGATGAGGTAAGAACTAGATCAAAATCTCAGGAGTTGCACTAACAGGTGCTGACCCTCTCGTGGAGGCCAATTGCTTTGCATGAGGTAGAATACAGTTCTTTTATTGACATTCCAATGGCCTTCTGGCTATTTCTTGTTCCCTCATATTTTGCTTTTCAAACTTACACCATACAATACAGAAGTCTTATTTTATCTGAATGTCACTTTTGCCTTGCTAGTGCAGATGGCATTGATATACTGCCAGTAGAGTTGTGGCTTCTCTTGTGAGTTTTTCAACTTCCTTGTTTAGCTTTACCCTGCATATCCTGGCACAAATATCCAGGTGATAGTCTTACCATGCAGTTTCTTTGCTATCAGTCACATATCATTGTCTAAAAAACCAAATTTTACACTGTATTGCCTTACAAAATGTAGAAGGCAGTTCTTTTAGAAATATTCCTATGGCCTTCTGGCCATTTCCTTTTCTATTCTTCCTTCATATCTTGCTTTTCAAAGTTACACCATATAGTAACAATGCACAGTATAACAATGTTATTTTCAGTAGGGAGTTTAAGAACTCCCCACTACATATTACAAAACAAAATATTAGAGAGCAGCTAAACTCAGGCAAACAGTTAAGAACTCCCCTATACATATTGTGAGACAAAATACTAGATGACACATAAACTCAGGTAAACAGTTAACAGTTTCACTGTACATATTATAAGACAAAATACTAGATAGCAGCTAAACTTAAGCAAACAGATAAGAACTCCCCTCTACATATTGTAAGACAAAAGAATAGATAGCAGCTAAACCTCAGCCAGAAAGTTATGAACTCCCCTCTAAGATAAAATAATAGATGGCAGCTAAACTCAGGCAAGCAGTTAAGACCTTTCTATATAGTGTAAAACAAAATACAAGATGGTACATAAACTCAGGTGAACAGTTAAGAACTCCCCTCGACACATTGCAAGACAAAATGCTAGATGGCAGCTATGCTCAGGCAAGCAGTTAAGACCTTTCTATATAGTGTAAAACAAAATACAAGATGGTACATAAACTCAGGTGAACAGTTAAGAACTCCCCTCGACACATTGCAAGACAAAATGCTAGATGGCAGCTATGCTCAGGCAAGCAGTTAAGACCTTTCTATATAGTGTAAAACAAAATACAAGATGGTACATAAACTCAGGTGAACAGTTAAGAACTCCCCTCGACACATTGCAAGACAAAATGCTAGATGGCAGCTATGCTCAGGCAAGCAGTTAAGACCTTTCTATATAGTGTAAAACAAAATACAAGATGGTACATAAACTCAGGTGAACAGTTAAG